AAAGAAATTATGGGAAGATAATGAACCATGGCAAAGAGCTTGTGCTAATTTTTTGGGAGACATTAATAACAACTATCCAAAAAGCAAGAGGCTTAACTTCATAAAGAGAACCTCTTGGATTCTTCCTCGAATCGTCCGTGATGCTCCAATAACTGGAGCCCGTACATTCTATACTGATGCCAATAAATCAGGGAAGGCAGGTTAAAAATCAGAAGACTTGGATAAGGTGGAACAAAGTCTGTATAATTCTGTCCAGAAGGCGGAATTATATGCCATTCTTATGGTGCTAAGGGATTTTAAAGAACCTATTAATATAGTTACAGATTCACAATACGCAGAAAGAGTTATTTTACATATTGAAACTGCTGAATTTATACCTGATGATACTGAACTAACCTCATTGTTCCTCCAGGTTCAAGATTTGATCAGGAACAGGCTTTGCCCTATGTACATAACACACATCCGATCCCATACGGTCTGCCAGGTCCTCTAGCACAAGGTAATGCAGAAATTGATCAATTATTGATTGGTAGTGTGCTACAAGCCTCTGAATTTCATAAAAAACATCATGTTAATAGCAAAGGTTTGAAGAAAGAGTTTTCAATTACATGGCAACAAGCTAAGGAGATTGTAAAGAAATGCCCTACTTGCTCTTTCTATAACCAAACGCCACTGCCTGCAGGGGCTAATCCAAAGGGCACCCAAAGGAATGAAATCTGGCAGATGGATGTGTTCCACTTTGCAGAATTTGGCAAATTAAAATATGTACACCACACCATAGACACGTATTCAGGTTTTCAATGGGTACTGCCCTGAGCTCAGAAAAGGCTGATTCAGTAATCACACATTTATTGGAAGTTATGGCCATCATGGGTATACCTGCGCAAATAAAGACAGATAATGGTCCAGCATATGTATCTAAGAAAATGAAACGCTTTTTTGATTATTATAATATAAAACACATTACAGGTATACCAAATAATCCTACAGGTCAGGCAGTTATAGAAAGATCAAATCGTACTATAAAGGATATGCTGAACAAACAGAAAGGGACTGAAAATACCCCCAGAAATAGATTACATAATGCTTTACTAACCTTGAATTTTCTTAACGCTAATGAGAAAGGAACGACAGCAGCAGAAAGGCATTGGATAATGGAAAAGTCTGCTGAACTAAATCAACCGATTTATTTCAAAGATGTCCTGACCTCTCAGTGGAAGCCAGGAGATGTGCTACGTTGGGGAAGGGGTTTTGCTCTTGTTTCCACAGGAGAAGAAAAATTGTGGATACCATCAAAATTAATAAAGTTTCGATTTGAAGAGGAGAAACCTCTTGGAAAGGAGAAATGACAACTCATCCACAACGATGATATTCATACAGGTGGTAAGAAAAACATATAGAATGGGGGCAGGGTTCTGTTCTTATCTCCACAGGAAAACACTCATCTTTGAGATATTCAAGGGACCCTGGATGTTTGGATACTGACAGATGGAAAAATACCTGCCCAATAGGAAATATCAAGACAACTGAATGGGTTGTGTAAGTAATATTAAACCATATTTCTAAATTTATAAAGCTGGTTTTGAAGTTGGACTCTGGCTCAGTCCCTCTCCAATTCCAAGCCTGTTAGTAAGAGAAAAACCCAGAGTTTCTGGAGTTTCTGTCTCATGTCAAGAGCCATGATATGGGACAGAAAGAAATATGAGTTTAGAAAACATCTTTGCTTCTCTTCATATCTATCATACTTTTCATTGAATATATCTATCATGTCTTTCATTGAATATATATATATATATATATATATATATATATATGTCTATATGATTAATGTTTAAGTTTTTCATAATGAACAATGAGTTTTTCCTGAAGTGACATTTGAAGTTTCCAGGAAGAAGATGGGGCCCCATAACAACAACTCCACCTGGTTGATATGACGTCATGATACTGATAGCGCTACTACAAGACCTGCTTTGGGTACCAGCTGCACAAGACAGTTCCAACTTGGTTAGCTGAAATGGTGCACATCTTATACAACATTTTGGCCAGACCTGCACGAAAATACTCAGAGACTATTTGCAATTTTAAAAGACATTATCTTGAAATTTAACCATCATTTTACTTTCACAGGATCCCCCAGAAAGAACGTCGCCCCTATGACAGCTGGAAGTAATTCTAGAGAACGACGTCCCCTCTCCCAGTAAAGTTTGCCCTTGGGTTTAGGGACATCATTTAGCGGTTGATTATAATTAGTATATGATTGAGGGTTGGGGGAGGAATTTTATAAGCTCAGGGATCATTTTGAAAAAAAAAAAAAGAGGGATGATGGGATAATAGACAAATATATTGGTATAGATTGACTATTGTACGCATGCATGTTTCTACCTCTGTTTAAAACATTTTTATGTATTGACATATATTGTATTGATATATATATATATTGTATATATTTACCATATTGCAGTGTACATTTCTACCTCTGATTAAGATACTTATATAATATTTGTGTATTGATATATATTTACCTACTGCAATGTATATTTGTACATTGTTTATATTTGGAGGTCATTGTCCTCATTTGTTTCACAGTCGTTTATTGTCTTAGTCTTTAAGTTAGATAGATATTGAGAATTATATAGACTAATTGTCATCTAAGTTTGTCATTTATAATTAGACTAATCAGGTTCTTTAGATATATAGAGATTATACTCAGTATAGATAGATAATCTTCAACCTCTTCAAAGAGCTGTAGAAAATGGCCTTTAATCTAACTCAGAGTTTCGTGATAGTGAGACATAATTGCTCCTGGCAACACCGCTCTATTCCCGGGAGAATGTTGAGCACCAAAAACACTCCATCTGGAGCCTTTCTATTTGGCAGAACTGGCCTTTGGGCAAAGAAATGCCCATACCTCAACCACTGACACAGATACAGAGCGTGCATCAATGGATAAAACAGGACTGTCATATCCTGCCAAGACAGGGTAAGATAGTTTTGAAAAGTTCCTTGCCTTTAATAATGGTATGTCAGTTATGTTAGGCCTTAGCCAAAATTGGTTGACTCAACGTTGCAAACGAGACTTTGGGTGATTGCCCAGGTAGTCAGTTGTCTCTGTCAATTGTTGCACATTTTGGATATATCTCATTTGTTGAGTAGTGTTTATTCCCTTCTCAGATCTTTGACTGAGTTGAAGATTATATAATTGTAGTTACTCTTTACATTATTTGGACTTCTTGAGATAGAATGTTTAGCAAAGCTTTTGTTCTCAATATTGTTTGTTGTATTTATTATTTGTTGTTATTGTATGTAGTTGTATTTGGTTTAGTTCTGTCTTATTTAGACAAAAAGGGGAGATGTAGGGATAAGTCCCGCCCCTTAAAGGGCGTGTTCGCCTCGGGCTAATGTCTGCCTATAAATTTGGCGAGCAAGCTCTGAGCTCTCGCTTCTGCTTTCCTGGTCTCCGCGGGAACGGTGGTTCTGTAAGTCTATTTCTACATTAAAGCTATATATATATTTTTACACTCTGTCTGCATTCATTTACGCCGTTACATTGTAGAATTTCCTTGGTAGAATTTTTGGGATCACTTATGTAAACTATCATATCATATCATCAACAAACAGTGAGAGTTTGACTTCTTTTCCGATTTGTATCCCCTTTATCTCCTTTTGGTGTCCTATTGCTCTAGCTAGGATCTCAAGAACTATATTGAATAGATACAGAGTCTTGTTACTGATTTCAGTGGAATCGCTGGGAGTTTCTCTCTATTTAGTTTGATGTTGGCTGTTGGCTCGCTTTATATTGCCTTTTATTATGTTTAGGTATGTTCCTTGAATCCCTGCTCTCTCCAAGACCTTTATCATGAAGGAATGTTGTTTTTTGTCGAAAGCTTTCTCAGCATCTAATGAGATGATCATGTGGGTTTTATTTTTCAGTTTGTTTATATGGTGGATTTATGTTGACAGATTTTCATATGTTGAACCATCCCTGCATCTGTGGGATGAAGCCAACTTGATCATGGTGGATGATGGTTCTGATATGTTCTTGGATTCGATTTGCCAGTATTTTATTTAGTATTTTTGCACCAGTGTTCATGAGTGAGATTGGTCTGTACATTCCCATTAATTAAAAAAAAACATCTGATGTTTAGTGATCAGAATACATATAGTTGACAATAAATTTATGAAACTATTTACAGTGGTGACATTAGTGTTATTAAAATTTTGAATAACATTTTGATCTTGTTTTTTGTTTTTAAGGAGTGTTTATAATCCATTCTCCTTAGGAGCTCTAGTTATCAAGTAATTCATTTTGTTATTTTGATTTTAAGATATTTTATATTAATCCTATAGTTCTTGTGTCTGTCAGGGAAAGGGTCCTGAGAATGGAACTCAGGGCATTGCACCTTTTATACAGATTCTCTACAATTGACCGTACATCACCAGTTTTGTATTTTCTATCTCTTCTGTGTATTTTTTAGACAGGGTCTCACTATGTAGTTCTAGCTGGTCTGCAACTCGCAGACTCTGCCTGCCTCTGCCTCCACATGCTGGATTAAGGGCATGGGCCAGCATGCCTGACTTGTTTGGGCATTTTGAGACAGGCTGGCACTCAACACATGCCATCCTCTTATCTTTGTTGGAGTTCTTGGTTTAGAGGCATGTGCTATCATTCCTGGCCTCTGGGCTGTTTGTTTTTTCTTTGTTAAGTTGTGTAACAGTTATTATTAGAGCTTTACTAATAGGAATGTAGTTCTGAAGTGACCTCAGGTTGCTTACTTTTTAATGGGAGTATGGAATTGAAGCTAATGGTCTGTTCCATCTCAGTCAGTGTGGGGTGTTTTGTTTTGTTTTGTTTTTCTGTAAACATGTGGAAATTTCTTGGTAAGGTAGAAAAATGGTTAAGTTTTTTTAATATAATACTCTATTAAAAATCAGTTTGTTTCTATGAAAAGTCAATGAATTTTTATAGCCCAGCCTTCCCCCACCATTTTTTCTATTTCAAGGCTTTATCTCTAACCTGACCATTCAGAGGCAGTACTTCCCTAATGACGAAGATCAGGTTGGGGCAGCTAAAGCTCTGTTTCGTCTGCAAGACACCTACAATCTGGACACAGACACCATCTCAAAGGGTAATCTTCCAGGTAAGAGAATTCTTCCCATCCATCAATGTTTGTCACCTAGCTACTCTCTTCAGCCCATAGGAAAATATGAGTAATTTTATGTATTAACATTTGTTTGTGACAGGGTCTCCTGCAGATCAGGCTGGTCTCCTGTTTCAACCTCCTGAGTGCTGCAATTACAAGCATATACTGCTATACCTGGCTTTCTAGCTCCCAAAGTTATTTGTTGTTGGTATTTGCAAGGCTATGAGAGTATGTGGGGGCATGCACGTGCCATGGCACATGTGTAGAGGTCAGAGAACAGTCTGGGAGTTGGTTCTCTCCTTCTTCCGTGGGATTTGGTGATCCACCTGATGGACCATCTCAGTAGCCCTACTTGCTACTATCCTTTGAGAACAAAAGTAAAGCTCCCTTCTCTGATAGTTAATGGTAGGGGATCATGCTTTTAGCTTGATACTGTCAAGGCAACAGCCTAAGGAAAGAATTTCAGTATATAACAAAAGTCATTTTTCTAGTTTTTCTTTTAGAACATCTGATATTACTTAAATGCTTTGTAGATAAAATCGTAAGATGATTAATCATTTTATGTTCATTAACTGAAAGCTAAGATGTTCTGAATATGGGCAGATATTAAAATGTTCTGTAGTATAAAGCAACCTACTATAGTATGTAACTATATTGGTCAAAAAATTTTGTGCAAAAATTTTGAGTTATCTTACTTTATGATAATTTGCTTCTGTCACTTTTTCTGTGAGTTTGTGGCTCAGTGTCTTCTTTCATTATCACTGGAGAAGTGAAATGTGTCTGTAGTCAGACTGAAACTGGTTTTCTCAGTAACCAAAGAGATGGTTGTTGATGAAAATGCCCTTCCTTCCTTCCTTCCTTCCTTCCTTCCTTCCTTTCGTTTTGAGACAGAGTTTCTCTTTATGTAGCTCTAGCTGTCCTGACACTCTGTAGACTAGGCTGGCCTTTAACTCCCAGAGATCCACCTACCTCTGCCTCCCAGTTTTGGGATTAAAGGTGTGCACAACTATTACCTGGCTAAAGATGCGTTTTTTGTACATCTTTTTTTCATTTGGTATACATTGTGGGATGGTAAAATTTAATATTTTATATTAAGTAAGATTTTTTAATAAACAAATACTTATTGGAGTGATCAGGTTTGTATTCTATTTTCTATTTCTATTGACTGCATTACAACATTTGATAGGATTTATAACCTTTAAAATTTGGCTTCTGGTTTACAATCCCACATTCAATAGGCATTAATTATGTCATATGTGCAGTTACTAATTAATAATCAGGCATCTGTACTGGCCTGCCCTTGGGGTCCTGATAGGATACATCCTCAGTTGCAGCCACTAAAAGCACCTCCTGTACGCATTCACTGCATTCCCTTTTAAAAGGCGGGTTTTGCCCACCTCCCATCTCTCTCTCTCTCTCCGTCCTCCCCTCTCTCTGCCTCTCTGCTTCTCTGCCTGTCTTTCTCTTCTCTTCTCTTCTCTTCTGCCACTCCTGTCCCCAGAGGCCCGTTTCCCACCTCCCCTCCCCGCTTTTTCCATTCCCTTCCTCCAATAAGAAACTCCTTCATGTGAATTCTGTTGTATTGCGTCTTTCTCTTGCATTCTTGCATGCTGCTTTTTAAATTACAACACTAAGATCAGTACAAAAATTATATAATGCACAAGACAATACCTTTGTTGTTTAAGGCACTTCTGTTCTTAAGATAATGAATGCCAGGAAGGGAGAGCTTCTGGATATAGTAGGAGCACACAGAAGGGATCTTAATTCTGGCCTTCATATATGTGAAAATGACTTCATGGAAGACCTATTAAAATAATTGAGATCTAATGAAGAAAGTGTTAGCCAGGAGAATGGTGAGGAGGTGGACAGGAGTAGGCAAGGAAAAAGTGTTCTAGACAGAAGGAACATATCTGAAGACCAGAAGGGAGAGAACCCTTACTCAGATAAGTAACAAACACTTTTTTTTTTTTTTTTGCTTGTTTGATTGATTTGATTTTGGCTTTTTGAGACAGGGTTTCTCTGTGTAGACCCTACTGTCCTGGAATTTGCTCTGTAGACTCAACCCAGAGATCCCTCTGCCTCTGCCTCTGTCTCCCGAGTGCTGGGATTACATCACACGGGCTAACAAGAACTTTGTGTGGTTTAGCACAGTTCCAGTGGAACATGCATGAGTTAGGCATGGGGTGTGGTTGGTGAGAGCAGTGAAACATGAGGCTAACGAGGTGAGCAAATACGGTGCCTTAGAGGGCTTGTGTCATTTCCCCCATTTTCTCGCCCGTTTGCTCTTGTTTCCTTCATGCCAGCCGTGGAATAATCTCAGCTTCAGGTGCTGCGTTGTCTTTTTTTTTTCTTTCTTTTTCAAAAACCCAATCCTCAGACAGTCTTTTGTAATAATTGTGAATAGATAATAACTAAAACATTCATAATCACTTTACCAAAGCAGAATAGCTGAAGATCTTCCGCCCTTTATCATTATGCTTATTCATACAACACTGCCAGAATGTTGTCATTTACAGACTGTTACTGTGATGTCTCGTGTGTTGATGTACATACTCCCCCCATGTGCTTTGCATGGCCACAAAACACTTAGGCTTGCAGAATTGTGAACTCATTTTAGACATAGACCAGCAGCACAGTGATGAGGGTCAACATTTTATATGACTGTTTGGTTTCTGGAATTATATCACATTAAACTACTAGGATTTTAATATCTGCTCTGGTTAAATGTGTCCCCTGCCAGTTTCAGCATTGAAACTTTATTACCATGAATCTGAGGCCAGCCTGCGAATATAACAAGTACCAGACCATACAGGGATGTATAGCAGGGTTTTCTTTTATCAGCTTGTTGGTTAGTATTAATTGTCAATTTGACCAAAGTACAGTGCCCTGGGAAGAGATAGGCCTGTGGGCTTGCCTGTGGAGGATTGCCTTTATTATTAAATTGAAATAGGGAGAGCTGCCTACTGTAGGTGGGTTCATTCCCTCACTAGGATAATGTATAAATTTAACATAATTTTTTTGTTATTTTATTGAAAATAAGTTTTTTCATATAGTATATTCTGATTAATTTCCTATCTCCCAGCTCCTCCAGGATCCTTCTTTCTTTTCCCGCCCACCCAAATTCACACCCGTTCTTTCTCTCTCCTATTAGAATACAACAGGCATCTAAAAAGATAAGAACCAAAATAGGACAAAACAAATGGGGGGCACACAAAAAAAAAACACAAGAAGCACATACAAACTCTGAGACACACATTTGCACACATGTAGAAACCAGAAAAACACAATTGGAAACCATAACATCTAAGCAAAAGATCTGTAAGCCCCAGCAAAGCATATGAGGGGAAAACCTTCAAAATACTCTTGCATTCATTTGTATTCACCTCTGCTGCTGGGCATGGGGCCCACCCTTAAGTGTGGTTTGTGTACCCAGTGAGACTCCATTGGGAAGCATTCCCTGTATTCTCTGCCTTAACTCCATTTCCCTCCCTTTCCCTGTTCGATACTCCTATTCCTGTTGTCTTTGCCCCACCCCCACACCCCTGTACATCTATGACTATCCTTCCCACTAGTCCCTTATTCTGTTCCTAACATCTGCAGTTAAACTGATGTAACAGCTAATATCTGCATGTAATCTGATACATACCACATTTGTCTTTTCGGGTCTGGGTTTGTTTTTTTTTTTTTTTTTTTTTTTCTAGCTTCATCCATTTGGCTGTGTGGGTTTTGTTTTGTTTTTTAAAGCTGAGTAGTGTACTACATTTGCTTTATCCATTCATCTGCTGATGGCCATCTGTTTCCAATTTTTAGCTATTATGAATAGAACAGCAGTGAACATGGTTGGGCAAGTGTCTCTTAATGTAGAGTCCTTTGGGTATATGCCCAAGAGTGAAACTTAACACTCAAAAGGAGTAGATGATAAGAAATAATTAAACTCAGGGCTGAGTCAGTCAAATAGAAACAACAGCATCAATACAGAGAATCAATGAAACACGGTTAGGTCTTTGAGAAGATCAATAAGATTGGTAAACTCTTAACTAAATTAATCAAAAGAGAGAGAGAAGGTCCAAATCACTAAAATTAGAAACAAAAAGACTTTTTTAAAAAGATAAACTAGTCAGTGGTTTGTTTATCTTTTGGTGCATCTTTCCGTTCATCTTTTTCAGACTGTTCCTTAGGCATAAGATAGATACCAGTTTTGTTGTTGCTTCTGAGACAGATATGATTCCTGCTGTGTTATATAATCAAGTTTTATCTTGATTGATGTTTCATTTTGGTAACTTCATCTGCTTCATATATACTTGATAAATGGATATTAATAACATATATGCTATATGATTTCATCTAAATCTTGGTTGTTTTTTTTTTTTTCACTTTTTTACATCAGTTTTGTGTGGATGCCATATGGGTGCCATGGCATGCATGTGGAAGTCAGAGGAACTTGTGAGTCCTCCTTCTGCTGAGTTTCAGGGAGGAAGTTAGGTCTTCAGCTTGGAGCTAGTGCCTTTACCTGCTGAGCCATCTCCTCGGCCTTGGGCGCTTGAGGCACATCCCTTGTACCAGCTGTGTAATCCTGTCACACCATATTATTCTGTTTGTTTATAAAATTAGGCTAATTTTTGTTTTGAATTTATTGTATATTTGTTTGTTTTGAGACAGGGTCTCTCTGTGTATCTCTGACAGTCCTGGACTCACTATATAGACTGGGCTGGCCTTGAATTCAGAGAATTCACTGCTTGACTTTACCTCCTGAGTGCTGGGATTAAAGATGGTGCTACCCACACCGAACTGATTATTGCTTTTTCTTACTACTGGATTATTAAGAAGTTCAAATCAAAGTGAAGTAGCGCTTGGAAAGTTTATGTAAGTATAGTACAATATGAAGATTGCCAATGCTCTGTGTTTTCTATTTGTAGGAGTGATACACAAGTCTTTCCTAACGGCCGAGGACTGCTTTGAGTTGGGCAAAGTGGCCTATACAGAAGCAGATTATTACCACACGGAACTGTGGATGGAGCAAGCACTAATGCAGCTGGAGGAAGGCGAGGTTTCCACCATAGACAAAGTCTCTGTTCTAGACTATTTGAGCTATGCAGTGTACCAGCAGGGAGACCTGGATAAGGCACTTTTGCTCACAAAGAAGCTTCTTGAACTAGGTATGTTATTTGGCTTAATTTACGATATTTGCACACTTACCCGCTTCTTACTTGTCTCCAACCACACAGCCATGTGTCTTTCACCAGAAGTCTAGTACTTGCCCCGCCAGACGTCCTTTGTCTTCTCACCACTTTCCCTCAAAGTAGGCAGTAACTGAGTTTTCTCCTAATGGTATCACAGCAGTCGCTGTGTTCCTCTGCCATTCTCTTTCCTCCGGGAAACTGGAGGAAACTGGAACAACCAGACGATAGTGGTGCACTCCTTGAATCTCCAGCACGTGGGAGATAGAGGCAGGTGAATCTCTACGAATTTAAGGCTAGCCTGATCTACACCTACAAAGCGAGTTCCAGGACAGCCAGGACTACACAGTGAGACCTTCTCTCCAAAAAAACAAAATAATGAATAAATAAAGAAATAGGTCAAATCTAGATGAAGAACTCAGTTGAAAATTTACTTACCATGTGGCCATAGTAATTGCTAACCACTTTCCTTTGAAGACCATTATTCTTTTTTGCATTTCATATTCAAAATGTTAGGAAAATGATATGCAAATTTTTTAAAGTGATGTATTTTATGTGTATGAGTATTTACCTGCATGTGTGTAGGTGTATCACTAGGCCAGAAGATGGTATCGCATCCCCTTGAAAGTATGTGGATGTTGAAAACTGAACCCTGCCCTTTTCAAGAGCAGCAGTACTCTTAACTCCTGACCCATTTCTCCAGCTTCCCAGAATTCCTTGATTTCTACCCAAGATCTGCTATGTTGAAATCTTTTCAAATGGAATCTCAGAATATATAAAATAATAAATTATGAAAAAAGTATATTTAATAATTTTTAAATTTTTGAGATAGAGTTTCTCTGTGTAACAGCCCTAGCTGTCCTAGAACTCGCTTTGTAGACCAGGCTGCCCTTAAATTCACTGAGATCCATCAGCCTCTGCCTCCCAGGTACTTTGATTAAAGATGTGTACCTGAGTAAGATGATAGATGTTGGGGGCCGGAGAGATGGCTCAGAGGTTAAGATCACTGGCTGCTCTTCCAGGGGTCTTGAGTTCAATTCCCAGCAACCACATGGTGGCTCACAACCATCCCTAATGAAATCTGATGCTCTCTTCTGGCCTGCAGGCATACATGCAGGCAGAACACTGTATACATAATAATAAATAAATCTTAAAGATGATAGATGTTAGAAAAGCGAGACTATTCCAAAAGATTGATCTTCTGAAAGTGAGCTTTATGATAATTGGTTTATTTCTTAGTTAGATGAATAAATCAAGATATTAGTTCAATAACATTTGTTTTTCTTTTGTTTTTTTAAATTAAATTATACTTCATATTCCATGTAGAAAATTTATTAATATAGAAAAAGAGTCAACTTTTTTCCATCATAGTATATAGTCCCTCACTATACACATTTATTTTTCTCCGTTATTATATGTCATAACATACATTGTGATCTGTTTCAAAAGAACTACAAATAATTTACAGACCGAACACTTTGATTAATGCCACAAGTGATGCCTCTGCTTCCTGTTCTTTTTATTTTTATCTCTGTGGTTGCTTGGATTGGTTTTTACTTACTAGAATGTAGTTAAAAATTATCACTAGTAATTTCTGGGGCAGTTAGTGAATTTGGCATGTTCGAAAATTACATCTCTTCAGTTTCCTTTTTCCTTCACACTTAGAAATTTAGAGCTGACGTCTACTCAGCCCTCAGATGTAAACTGATCTGTCTGTGGTGAATATTAGTTATGAAGTGGGTCTCCTTTGTCTTTACCACAGTGATTGCTTTGTAGCCACAAAATGATCCTTCCCATTACCTAAAATACATGGATGAGTAAGAACTTTGTTGTTGTTTTGTTTTCTTTTTGGTTTTTTTTTTTTTTTTGAGACAAGATTTCTCCTTGTAGTCCTAGCTGTTCTGGAACTCACTCTGTAGACCAGGCTGGCCTAGAACTCGAGATCCTCCTGCCTCTGCCTCCTAAGTACTAGAATTAAAAGCATGCACCACTATGCCCAGCTGAGTAAGGATCTAAAGTGTTGACACCAGATTGAACATTGTTCTGGGGCTGGCCAGTAAAGTTCTCAAAGTAGAAGCAGTAATTGCTGCTTAAAAGTTCAAAACTGCTTCTGTCGCCAGAGCTGTTTCTGTCCAGGGCAGCTCTATGTCCTGATTGACTAGGGCAGTGCTAGTTACGCTTATTTTGGTACTAATAACTTTCATTAGTGCCTCCTTTCTCAAAAGCATTTTAATTAGGAAGATAAACTTTAGATCCCTGTGTTTATATTACAGTTTTTTGATGATTGAACAACTGAAAACTTGACCATGTACACTCTTTATTTCTCTCTAATAGATCCTGAACATCAGAGAGCTAATGGTAACTTAAGATATTTTGAGTACATAATGACTAAAGAAAAAGATACCAATAAATCTGCTTCAGGTGACCAGTCTGATCAGAAAAGTACACCAAAGAAAAAAGGGATTGCTGTGGATTACCTGCCAGAGAGACAGAAGTACGAAATGCTGTGCCGTGGGGAGGGTATCAAAATGGTAAAGTGGAAAAAGTTAATTGTGTGTTTGTGAATATGCATGTGTTTGTGCATAGTGCTAGAGAGAGTCAGAATGACTGCACAAAGCAGTGTGCCGTACTGCCTTACTATGGATGAAAATGCATTAATGTGCATGTGGTACGCATTGTATGATGCAGACATACATTGTTAGTGAGTTTTTAGAGTATTTCTAAGTATAAACTCTTGAAAGTATGTTTAAGTTCTTTGTCTACTAAGAAATTAAAGTTAGGGTTTCTATTTAGACATTGCAGAATGTTGACAGTCTAACCACTAACCACAGATGTGTATATTGCATCATCATGAATAGAATCACAGATTCCTATCAATAAGCGTTTGCTTTTATTGGGAGCTAATGAGCAATTCAAGAATAGAAAGACTTCATTAGATTCCTGCGACCATTTTGTACATTGCTTTTCTAATAATAATGTGTGTGTCAGACACCTTTGTATCGCTGATAAAATGCCGGAGATTGACAGCTTTAAAAGGAGGAAAGATCCATTTGGGTTCAGGGATTCGGAGACTTCATTCTATAACCATAACACTCACTGCATCCTTTGGGCTCATGGCAAGGCAGGACATCTTGGGGAGAGAATGTGTGGTGGAGCACAGCTGCTTACCCCACAGAAGCTCAGAAGCAGAGAGCAGCAAGGACGGATTTCCAGCATCACCTAGGCACACCCCAGTGACTTTCCTAAAGATACCACCTGCCAACCACACCACAGGCTAGTGACCGAGCTAAGAATTTAGAAACAGTCTAGATCAAGCTCTAAGAGTACTTATCTTTTAAAGATGAGAACTCAGACTCACTAGAGGTTATTATCATATCTTTATAGATTTCTAGAAGTTACATAATAATATCAAATGATCAAATATCTAGTTAGTTTGCGAATTTCCATGAGTCTGAACTTGTTTTGAAAACAGGATCTCCTACCTCACAGACTATTGGCTTGTAACTCTTTATCTTATTTATTATGGAATTTTGACCTTCTGGTTCTTCTGCATCTATGCCCACACCCAGTTAATACATTGCTAGGGAGTCAACTCAAGGCTTTGTGCATGCTAGGTAAGCACTCTGTCAACCGAATTACATGCCCAGTCCTTTTCCTTAGTAACTTTTAAGCCAGCGAAGTGGAATTCCTGGCTGCCTCCTGGTTATTTTGGAGAAATGCTGGGTATACTTTTTTCCCCTTTTAAATAAATATTTAAATGTTATTTGATGTTTATAATACCTATAATTTATTAGATAAGAGAATGGTAGAAACAAGAAACATTACGTTATTTTCTTATTTGAGGCCTCCCTCTTCCCCAGAAAATAATCGTTTCTATTTTTCAATGCTAGGGATTGAACCCAGTGCCTTTCTTATGTCAGGTAACCACTCTACCACCAAGCTGCAACCCCAAATCCTAAGAATCATTAATAACATTTTAAAGATCATGTTTGCTTTGATGCAAAACATCTACAGGATATTGCTTTGTGTGCTTTTCCAGAGACCATCTCTGTGTGTGTGTGTGCAATCATAGTTCTTGTTTTTAGCCCATAGAGGAATCGACAGTGGGTAATATTTAAATATACTTATTATTTTCTTCATATTTAGACACCTCGGAGACAAAAAAAGCTGTTCTGCCGCTACCATGATGGAAACCGAAATCCTAAATTTATTCTGGCTCCAGCCAAACAGGAGGATGAGTGGGACAAGCCGCGTATTATTCGTTTCCATGATATTATTTCTGATGCAGAAATTGAGGTTGTCAAAGACTTAGCAAAACCAAGGGTAACTTTTTTTCTTCTCAGTTTACTGAATGTTTGTGTTAATCTTTTCTTTGCAAGGTGACAGGAAGGATAACTAAGGTGGCCATAACTTCAGATGGTTTTAAGTGTTATTGCTCCAACATAATGTTAAGTTATGGTTTATGCTAGCTGTGTCATTTTGTTATCTACATAAGTAATACGCCCTAATCCTGGGCTTTAAACAGTAATGGAAACCATAGATTTGTGTTCTTTTATGAAAAACTAGTTTTTTGCTGTATTACTGGAAGACCTCCATATTTTGTAGCCTTCAGTACCACTCAAAGCTAAACCTTTTCATACATAGTCTGTTTTTATAGGTGTCTTGCTAATTTTAAAATAGTATTATGGTTTCCTAATTTTAGTTTATATATATTCTTTTAATTTTCTTTAATGAATATGGGTGTTTTGTTTACATGTGTGTCCATGTACTATGTGCACGCAGTGCCTATGGAGGCTAGAGGGTATCAGATCCTCTGAGACATGAGTTACAGATTGTTGTGTTCTGCCGTGTGGGTGCAGGGAATCGAACCTCAGTCCTCTGGAAGAGCAACAAAGTGCTCTGAGGAACTGCTGAACCCCAGTCCTGAATCTATCATATCAAGAAAAATAGTTGAATGTGAGTTATGCCTAATTCTACACGTGTAGTGTTTGGCATGGAAACTTGTCTTTTGTGTGAGACTGTGGAGACCATCCCTCTGTCCTTTGTTTCCCCATCATCTTGTTCTTTAAAACAGCACATCTATTAATAATACAATGCAAGCTTTTGTAGAGATTATTAAATAAATTCTGATTATTATTTTTTCTGTTGGAATACATAGGGGTTGATGCATTTCTATAAAGGTCAAGGCAGTCAATGTTTTTTCGAGCTTTGTCAGCTGTGTGGTCTCTGTCCCAGCTACTCAGCTTCATCATCTGGTGTAAAAGCAGCCAAAGGGCATGTGAATAAATACTGTGGTTACAGCAGCATCTGCTTTTTACTTTCTAAAGCTGGTGGCAGCTGGTTTGGCTGGTGCATTTGCTGGCTGTGTGTATATGTGCTTAGATAAACTTGAAATTTTCTTTTCTAATTTCTTGACGTATTTTTATTGACTCTCTGGGAATTTTACATCACGCACCTTGATCACACTCACTTCCCACCCTTGTGGCCGTACCCCAAAAAGAAGAACAACAAACCATAAGTCCAATTTATGTTGTCCATATAAACTTGAATTTTTTAAAGTTTTATTATTTTTCCGAACTTACATTTTTTGGTCTTATCAAAAAAAGTTTTAAAAAAAAGACATTGTAAGTACAAAGGGCATCAGGTGCTGTCCTGGGCCATTCTCACACATCAGCTGCCAAGCAGAATGACTCCGTATTTTCTCATTCTCTTTTGAATTCCTAATTCAGTCCTTTTCAGACCCACTTTACCAGTGTTTCTTGGTAGATATTTGTTAGGAATTCACTTTTGAGATAGAAGGTCTCTAGTTGGGATTGTTTTTGATGAATAAATTCAGCGACAACTAGTTAATTTGCTTGTCATGTCAGAATTGCCTCCCCATTTTAGAAAGTCTGGAATGCTTGTCGTGGCTGTCGTCTTTCCTCTAACCCCAGCTGCCCTGCTTTCTCCCCACACAGAAAGGCTGTTTTACTGTGTATATCACTGAGTTATGTTATCTCTTAAGATGAAGAAATGACCTTAAAACAAATTTTATTAACCTTTGTAAACATGTTTCACTGGAGTTACAATCCGAGGTTTTAGAGTAGACGATTATTATTAATATGTCTTTTGTTTTTTGTTTTTCCAGACAGGGATTCTCTATGTAACCCTGACTGTCCTAGAACTAGCTCTGTAGACCAGGCTGGCCTTAAACTTACAGAGATCCTCTTTCCTCTGCCTCCCGAGTGCTGGGATTAAAGGCATGTGCTACAACCACCCTGCACAAACAGCCATTCTTGAAGCCATAAATTGTACTTTACATTTCAGGAATTTTTCTTCTCATCACATTCTCTAAGTATTGAAGAAATTTAATTTCCAGTCTTTTCTGTTTGTGTGGCCTGTATTCATGCAGTGTAAAAGCAATTAAGATAATTTTTAAGAAACACACCAAAAATCTAACTGACTTTTAAGGCTCAACACAAGGTGATTGGAAGGGTATTTAGATATTTTCCTATTCACCCTCTTTTGTTTAAAGAAAAAGAAAATGGAGAGGTCTGACTGGTTAGGGAAATGTGATTCATTTTTTGTCTTGTAATGCAATTATTTTGATGGTTGGCTTCACAGCTGAGGCGAGCCACCATTTCAAACCCAATAACAGGAGACTTGGAGACGGTACATTACAGAATTAGCAAAAGGTAAGAGATTGTATGCTGCGTATTTTTCCTCCTAAGAGTGTCTTGAACATCCTACCGGAATTCTTACTTGTTTACAGAAGTAGATCATTTCCAGTCTCCAGCTCAAGTGGCCGCCTTACACACAGAAGCATAACGCATGGACGCATGCTTTGTGTTTCACAGGCTTCCCCTTGAACTAGAAGTTCTGTTTTATCTCTGTTCGGACTCATGTTTCAGGAATTAAGTGTTTTGTATTTTTAAGGTCAGGTATTAAACACTCAGGAAACTGCCTGGTCCTTTCCTTTTCAAGCCCTTTGTTGTGAGAGTGGGAAATGAAGAAGCAGCAACCCCTTCATGTGGGGTGGAGTGCTGACATGTCTCACTCCCTCCTGCACGGCGATTGTCTTTCGCCTTTAATCTGATTGTCATTATGGAGTAATCTGTTCTTACTGGAGTTTCTCACTTAAAGTCGCTGCCCAAAAGTTGGCTGCGGAGAGAGCAGCTCTGCTTCTGAGCTCAGTCTTTCAAAGGGCTTGAGATCTCTGCTGACCTGGATGATGCAGAGAGACTGGAAAGCAGTTTCATCCCGATGAAAGTTTTAAAATGATGAACTAATTTCAAATACTTTGTAAATTATATCTGAAGAACATTGAACTTGTAGACCTGGGGAAGCTCCTGTGAAACCCACTGCCTCAGATCATTCCATACAACCGCGAATGACTTTAGTTAAAAAAGCGAAAGGACAATAAATAAATGCATTTGCAGTCAAATTCCGTCAGCCATTTTCTCCTGACCTAGAAGTGGCTGCTCTTCTGCCACCTTTCTGAACGTTTTGCTGATTCGACCCATTACCCGCCATGCAGACCAATCGAAATCCTTCCAATCACCTGTGGCTTGACAAAACAAAAAAGTGAACAAAGCCCAATGGCCTGCTGGAGTGTAAGCCCTTGTCCTTTCTCTTTTTTCTTTTCGTAGCTGAGCCGAGCTACAGTACATGACCCTGAGACGGGGAAATTGACCACAGCACAGTACAGAGTATCTAAGAGGTAAGGGAGCAATGGAGAGAATTGAGGCATATTTGGAGTGTTCTTTTTTGAGAATCTAATTTCAACAAAATATATGATATTGTTTCTAAGATGTAGATGTCAGGGGAAGGTTTTGATGTCTGTGCTTGATTTTCATAATGGACCAATAAGCAGATAGATCCAGGCAGTTTCCGGCAGTTTCCAGCTCATTGATAAGTATAAAATGCCCAGTGCGGCTCCAGCAATGCTAATATGGGAAGTGTCTTATGTTGAGAGAACTCCCTAAAGGCTCTCTGCACAGTGCAAGGCCCAAGGCAAACTCTGCCTTAGTCTGTGGTCACCAATAGTTCTAAAAGAAATGCCTAGAAGGACAGTGAGGCTCCTACAAGTCAGCTTTCAATTCCTTCCGTTCAGCAACAGATGTAACAGTTAAGAATCACGGTGCAGATTAAACTGTGTTACTAAGGCCAAGTAAGGTTAGTACAGCAGTGACTCACCTATTGATAATGGCTTCTCAGGTTAGAAAATGAAATCAGAAATGTCATTACACTGGATTCTGCTGGATTCTAACCCTAAGTAAAGTTTTTCTACAGATGCCAAAGTTATAGAAATAAGTATAAGCTCTGCCCTGTCTCATTATAAACATTTAAATATATTTGAGAGTAATTGCTTAGATTAACATGTATTAATAATAGTTGAAGTAACTCAATCTGAAGCTACTAATTTTTAAGTTTTTTGATCGATTGATTGATTGATTGCTATTATGTGTGTGTGCCCATGTGTGCACATGCCAGAGTGGACATGAAGAAATCAGAGCTGCTCTGAATTTGTGAGTTGGTTCTCTCTCCAGTTGGTGAAGCATGGTCTTTCTTGCTGTGTTTGCCATGCTGTTTACTCAGGACTAACTGACTCCTGATCTTCCGGGTAATTGAGTCTTCTTTCTTTACCTCCCATCTTTGCATAGGAGGACTGGAATTACAGACTTTTTATTACTATTTATTTATTGATTTATTTTTTAGCAGAGATGGAACTCGGGTTTTCATGGCATGATCTATTTTGCCTGCCCTAAAGGTACTACTTTTAATACAAGCTTTTATGTAACAGGAGATTTATGGTGTTGTCAGTTATATAAATATTTTTCTTATAGCTCTGGAATAAGATTTCTCAAATCAATATATTTTACCTTTAAAGTTTTTTTTTTTATTGGTAATTTGTAGGACTAGAAGTTGAACCTAGGCCTCTCGTATGTTCCCAGCCTAAGGTGTAGCTCAGGCTAGCACTGGACTTGTGGTCATCCTGCTTCAGCCTCTTCAGCATCTTCCTGTTGTGCTATGTTCCCAGGTGCCACCATGGTTGACAATTGATACTTGGAATCAGGTCATTTTTGTTGTTATTGGCTATTTGAGCATGGTTAGCCCATCTCTGGCACTCAATAAATGTCACAACTGGAGAAGGTGTAGGGACAGCTAGGTTGCTTGTTGTGCCTTGCTAGGTAGAATAAGTCCCCACTAACCTACTACTCTGCCTCCTCTGAGACCACTGACTAGAAGAATGGGATGAAAATGCAAGTTCTGGCGCAGGGGGGAAATGGCATGAGATTTCCAAGTATCCCAAAAATTGTGTTCAATTTTTAAAATTCATTAAATTACATTTTATGTGTACGTGTGCATGTTTGTGTGTGCATGTAGTACACAAGGAGATCAGGGAACAATTTTTAAGCTGCCATGATGGGGCGTGTCCTCAGGAATACATTCATTTCTATGAGTTCCAGGATAATCAGGGCTACACAAAACCAAACCAGGATAGCTTGTAATGCCAGCATTCAGGAGGCTGAGACTAGGGAATCTGAGTTTGAAGCCAGCATGGTGTACACAGGGGGACCCCGTCTCAAGACAAAACCTCTCCCATAAAGCTGTTACTGTATTTCAGAGATTTGCACATGGATTTGACATTTTTACAGTCCTAAAGCTATAGTAAGTATCTTAAGTTCTCCTGATTTGGATGCTTCTAAGAATCATTTAAAACAAAACTTCAACGGAGGAATGGGAAATGATGTGGTTCTGTTATAATCTTAAAAAATCAAACTTTCATGAATGAAGTGTTTTGGATTACATTTCTGAAAGCTTCTATATATAAAATATACGTGATGAAGGAATCCTCAGACAAGGATGTCATTGGACTCTTCCCATTTTCAAGTAACTTCTGTTGAAAGTGGTCCACAAATATTTGTTTTCTTAAAGCTAACTCCTATTCAATATTTCAGACTTTTTAAGTATTCTAGTTTTATAACCCCAAGAAGTAGCTTTATTGGGTTATTTGAAAAAGGCGTAGTCATACTTGATGTTATACATCCTAAGGGGCAACAGAAGACTTATTTATAGCCAGTAGCATTCGATGCCTGAAACGTTGACCAGTTTTTAGCAAAGTATGGTATGTTTTAAACTAGTGAAAAATGCACTTTATTTCAATGACTTTATTTTTAAAGAAATGTATCAAAATAAAAATATGCTTTGAGAGACAGACATTAACTGTTAAAGAAACTTCCCACTGAAAATATTAAGTATGCTTTAACAAATAAAATGTTTTACTATTAGAGGAAAAGAGTTTCATGGATATTTGGGAGTATTCTAGTACAGGTCTGAGCCATTGTACATAGTTGTGAAAACCTAAATTTTGAAGTCTATATTAAATTTTGAAATTATAAATAAACCAACATTTTGTTTCCCTTATAAATTAAAAAGTTTTCATAGAAGAAAATGTGTTCTGATGTCAGTTAATGTAATAATCCCTTTTGCTCTAGCAACACCTGCATTTTGCAACAACCCGAAAAGGAATTATTTCTAAGTGATCATATAATTTTATGCAGAAGGATAGGTTCCAGAATTCCAGCAGATGGAATTTTCCTTGGCAGAGCACACATGGCAGTTTGCTGTTGTTGAGGGCTGGCCATGGTGGGTACCTGAGTCTCAGCTAACAGGGAGGCTAAGGCAGGATTGCTTGAATCCAAGAATTCAAGGCTAGCCTAGATTTTTATTTATATAACTAACTATATGTAACATTGAGCTGGTAAATCATGTCTTTTTCTGTGAGAACCAAATAGCCCCACCCCCAACAAAACAACAACTTACCTCTTATTGCTGGCTAGATTAGTGGCTAGATGACAGTGATGGAGTTTAAGTTTTTGTTTGGTTATGCATTGTGAAAAGACAATTAAGTTGGATAAATTCCAAAGTCAGCTTGCTATAGCAAAAATCCTGATCATAAAAGTAAACAATATGCTTAAACGAGGAGAAAAGGTTTTTGATTTTGGTGGCTTATTCTTGGAAACAGTTCAGTTTTTCACTCTAAATAATGATTTCTGGCAATTGGTATTTATAATGTTATAAACATAATATGACATTTATGCCTAAAATTAGTTTACCCATATTGCTAAGAAACAAGTATAAGAATCTAAAACTACTTATATGCAGTGTTTTTCCTGCATGTGTCCCTGCAGGCCAGAAGATGGTACCAAACCTCATTATAGATGGTTGTGAGCCACCATGTGGTTGCTGGAAATTGAACTCAGGACCTCTGGAAGAGCAGCCAGTGCTCTTAACCTCTGAGCAATTTCTCCAGCCCCCTCTAAAAGTATTTTTATAACACTTAAGCTAATGTGCAGAACTTGGGGGTTTTGTTTGTTTGTTGTTGTTGAGACGGGGTCTCTTTATGTAGTTCTGGCTATTCTAGAACTTGCTGTGTAGACCAGACTAGCCCCCAAGCTAACAGAGATCCTCTTTGTTCTGCATCCAGAGTGTTGGACTTAAAGACATGCACCACCACACCCTGCCAGAATGGTATAATTCTGAATGATTTCAAATTGTTTTAAAGTGCCCTAATGTTTAACATCACTGCCTTCTAATGGGTTAAACAGTGGTTTTCAAACAGAGAGAATCAAAGTAGACAGATGCTAACCGCCAAACACTTGAAGAGGAATTATTGGAAATTGGAAATGTTGCTATTGGGAAGCAGTACTTTAACCTCAGACTTATCATTTGTCTTTACAAAGCAACAGTTTATTGACTTTATATTAGCTAATTGTAACATGTTTTACATCTACATTGTGGTAGGAGGTGTGACATTACTGACATCTTCCTGTGCAGATCTGTAAGTGTCTCTGAAGTGGCCCCAATTTAGCCAGTCGACCCTCTACAGGCTGTGTAAGGATGCTGCTGCTTCCTCTGCCAACTTCCTTGCAGTGCTTTTAAGATTTGTGTGTTAAAAGTCAGGATTATTTCAAATAGAGGAATCTTGTTTTTAGAAAAAGTAGAAACACTAATTGAAAGTTTAAGCCCTGTCATGAATCCAAAAAGAAAGATATTTGACTATTTAATTTTTAGTAGAAGATACAGTGCATATAGAATTACTAGAGCGGGGAGGTGGATGCAGGAGGATTGGGAGCTGAGTTCATAGAGAGTTCAAGGCCAGCCTGGACCACTTAAGATCCTGTGTCAAAACAAAAAGCAATAGACATTGTAAAAGTTGGTGGCTGTCAGGCAAGTGACAGTAGAAGTTGGTTTCTGTCTTTGGGTAGTAAATTTCATGTTTTAATAAGCATAGGCTCCCCATTCAAAACTGGCTTTATGGAACTTTACTAGAACATGTTGAATGACGTGGGGCAAAAAATACCAGGTTAACTCCAAGATAAACCAGATATATTCTTCTTTATCATAAGGGGCAAACGCATGAAACAGGAACGAGAAGTTCAAGCTCAGCTGTGTTGCACAGGAACCGCAGAGAGTGAGTCCTGGGCAGCCAGGTGTTTTTCTCCTGGTATCCATTAGGTCATGCCCTAACCTGACCCCACCTCTTAAAGATCATTGGCTGACAGAGATTGCCCCATCAAGAACATACCTGCCTTATTTTGAGATTAATCTAAATTAAAAAAAATTAGGTGCTGGGCATATCTCCTCAGAGTTAAAGTGTTCGCCTACCATATATGTAAGGCCCTGGGTTTCATCCTTATCACTGCAAAATGAAATATAATAATAGAAAAATGATATGGGATTTTTTTCTGAACAGTTAAGTTTAGGTTTTTGCAAGAATACTGTTAAAACAATGAATCAAAGCTTAATGAGAAGTGAAGGAAGAAATCTGTCCAGTTGAATGGACAGAAGCAGAACAAAAGACATAACTTGAACTTGGGGTTCCATCCTATTTAAGATCTGAGGTTTAACCTGGACCTAATACTGGAAGTGCAGCTTCCAAATCATAAAATTCACTTTATTTTTGTGTTTAATTTTTTTAATTTTATTTTTACTTTATTAATATGGATATTTTGTGTACAAATATGTCAATATAAACGTATGGCATGCCTGGGGCCAGCAGAAGCCAGAGGAAGGCACCAGATACCCTGAAACTGGAGTTACAGACCATTGTGAGCCACCATGTGTGTGCTGAGAACCAAACCCAGGTCCTCTGGAAGAGCAACCAATGCTCTTAACTTATGAGCCATCTCTCCGCCTTGTTTTCACTTTTCTCTTCTCTACTTATTTAGTACCTTTTGTTTTGGAGACTGGGCTTCTCTGTGTGGCAATCCTGGCAATTGGTTTGTAGACCAGGCTGACCTTGAACTCAGAAATCCACCTGCCTCTGCCTCCTGAGTGCGAAAATAAAGGCGTGCACCACCACTGCCCAGCATTGCTTTTTCTTTTTAAATTTCCTAAGTTTTGGTTTTTTAGGCAAGGTTTTCTTCTATAGCTCAGGATGGCTTCAAACTCCGAATGCTGTCTGAGCTTCCAAACCCTGGAATCGAAGCGTCTACTTCAGCCGTAGCTGTCAAATTCACCTTCCTGAAGTGTGTGTTCCAGTTGTTTTAAGTTTTTAGTTGTGTACTTATTTAATTCCAGACATTTTTATATAATAACATGCACTAAACATTGATTTCTTTTTCCATGTGTCATGTGGAGACCAGAGGTTCATGTCACGATTTTTGCTCATTCTGTTTTTATTTTTTTTTAACTGAAGATCTATTACTGAACTTGAAATCTACCAGTTTGGCTAGTCCACCTAGCTTGTCCTAGGATCCAGTATCTATCTCTTGAGGACCTGGACACTTTATCTGCTGAGCCATTTCCCCCAGACTCTTTAAACATTTTTCATGTATCCATGAATGGAGCTATTCATTACCCATCCTACCCCCACTCCATACCACTCCCTCGCAACCAGTAATTACTTTCTTCATTGATTTGCCTATTCTGCATATTTCACATAAGTGGAATCATATAACATGAGACCCTTTGTATCTAACTTCTTCCACTTAACATGTTTTTTAAGATTTTATGTTACACCATGTATCCTTGCGTTATTACTTTAATGGCACAATAATTTGTGTTTTTAGATATGCCACATTTGTATTGAGTCTGTTCATAAAATGATCAACATTAAGATTGTTACTTTTTAACTATTAATAATGTTGCTACGAACCTTTCTATACTGTACGATTTAACTTTCCTTATCTAAATGGGAGTAGAATTGCTGGTGATCTAACCATGTCTGACATTTAGAGGAAGTACTTAACTGTCTTCTACAATGGCTGCACCATTTTGTCTTCCTGCCAGCAATATGTATGTAAAACTTACCTAAGCAAATAATGCATGAATTTGTTCCCAGTAAATCATCACTGTAGAGCAGCTCCAGAACCCTTCGACCTCCTCTACTCTAGTTAGTGTCTATATTTTGTGTAGAAGAAATAATTGTTTCCAGCTTAACGTGTGTTTTCCTGAATGTTCAGGAATTTTCAGTGTAAACAGGCAGTGTGCTCCTGCAGTTCCAACTGCTCAGGAGACTGATGAGGCCTCGTCTCAAGAGAGAAAAGGAGGGAGGGCAGAAAGAGGGTTCTCGATCTAGGGAATAGCATTAATAGTCTCCCTCTGTTAATGCAGTGTTCCATAGAAACACAAGGTGTCTATTCTCTAACTGCAGAATGTTTCACTATTAAGAAATTGTATTAGTAAAGATATCGTCAGACAAGATCAAGCGGGTGAGCTGAACGTTTATTATTCTGGATGGGTGTGGTCGTGCACACTAGTTATCCCAGTTCTTAGGAGACTGAACCAAGGGAATTTGGAGGTAGAGGTCATCCTGAACGACGCAGTGGAGCTCGGGGAAAGCTACAGGCTGAGATGGAAGCTTGATGGTAGCGCATTGGTTTAGCATGCACAATGTCCTGCGTGCATTTGATCTCTAACACTATTTTAAAAATTGAATGTTCTCTTTGTTGCTTTGTTGAAAATGGCAGGTATTGGGCTTTTATTTAATGAAACAGTAGCCATAAAAGTACTATTTTCTTGTCCTAGTGCTTGGCTGTCTGGCTATGAGGACCCTGTGGTATCTAGAATTAATATGAGAATACAGGATCTCACCGGACTAGATGTTTCCACAGCAGAGGAATTACAGGTAAGCTACCAGTTTCTTACAGTTACTTACACTTCTTCAAGAGGTTCTTCCTGTTAGATTTCCTGGCACTGAACAACAGGCTTGTGTAATACCTGAGGACTGTAAGTGACCCCTGTAAGCCATAGCTTTCAAAGACCTTAATAATCCACTGCAGAAATTGAAAATGAAAGATATATATTACTATACTCAGTAGTAAGCATACTCTGACCTTTCACATTTTCAAATTACATTTATTTTACCATGGTAAAGGCATGCGAATATATATGCTGTGGATCTTCAGGATTGGACTCCAGTATCAGGCTTAGTGGCAGGTGCCTTTACCATCGAGCCATCCCACTAGTCCTAATTTTTCTTGATAATTTCTAGACCCATTCTGCTTGTTGAGTGGCTGGGGTAAATTTGGCTTTTTAAAAGGTATTCTTTAAATTGACATAATTTGTATGTCATACAGTTTACCTTGGTTTAGGTATATTTACTTGGTTATGACCTCATCACCATGATTTTCAGACATTTCCATCACCCTAGCGAGAGACTGTCCATGCCCTGAGCAGTAACTTTCTATTCCACTTCCTAAGCCCCTGGCAACCACTAGCTACTTTGTGCTTCTATGAATATACTTATTTTGGATATTTTATATATAGGATTTACTTATCATGTGGCTTTTATGTCGGGTTTCTTTGACTAAGCATTATGCTGCTAAGAAGCATGGATCCCCACTTTTGGAGTCTCCTTTGAGCTGTCTGCTCATTGGTTGGTGGATATCTGGGTTACTTCTGCTTTTTTGCTGCTGTGAGTAATTCTGCATACAAGTTTTTTAGGACCAAACATGGGAGCTTCCCACATGTGTTTTGTGAGTGTGTGTACAAATGAGAGTAGACTGCCATAGCTGTATCACTGGACATAAGCCGGTGACACAGCTACAGCTGTGCTGTCTGTGTGACCTGCAGAGTACTCGTGTCAGCCTCTGAAAGGGATGCGATTGCTCCTTGGGCCTCACGTGTAGGCTAGCATACTAAGTTGTTAATGAAGAACTAGCAGCGCGGTCTGTGCTTTATGCCGCTGCAGCTAATGCAGCACAGCAGCTGAGCTGACTGTCACTGCAGAGCAGGGCACCTGCCTGAGAGCTGCTGAAATTGTCACTCACTCTGTGGCAGTCCTCTTCCTCAGTATTTGTCTGATGCTTTTAGAAACCATTCATTGTGAGGTGTTTTTTCTTCCCTAATCTGTTTACCCTACTTTTAAAACCTTCAAGAATTGTTTATTTTCTCCTTCATAGAAGATCCAGTTTTTTCCTCAATATAACAGTAACATGCACAGTGTAATAATTTACAGACGGCTTGTTCTTTGTCATGGTAGTGCTCTTAACTGTCTATTTGTGTTGGTGAATAGGGTTAAAAAAATCCTCATTTTATATTGTGTCCTAAGTTACACCTATGAAGTGGAGTTAGACCAAATGCCTCCTTTACTGGGGCATCCTGGTGACCATCTGAAGTATTAGGGCCTTAAGGCAGGAATTGGTGTGAGCCTCTTCCCTTTAACCTAAAATGATTTTTTAAAATTATGTAAAAGAAAACTTATTTTTGTTAAAGTGTGTTGGGCTGGAGAGATGGCTGAGTGATTAAGAGCACTTGTTGCTATTCTAGGGAATCAGGGTTCAGTTCCCAGCACCCACATGGTAGCTCACAATCTGCTAAACTCCATTTCTAGAGGATCTGATGCCCCGCTTCTTGCCTTCACAGGTTCCAGCACACGTGATGTGTAGTGGTATAGTATTTGTATTTTGATAAATAAATCTGGCCTTAAGACCCAGAGGCAAAGCTAAAGCCACTACAAAAGTCTCACCTCTACCAAGGCTGGGCGACCATAGACTAAGCAAACTAAGCCTCTCTCTCCTCCCATTTTAGATTCCCTCTAGTGCTGGGATTAAAGGCATGACTCCCCAGGCCCAGGATTAAAAGTGTGAGCCACCACCATCGGATTTGTTTCCTCATTGATCTTGTGTAGCCCAGGGTGGTCTTAAACTCAGAGATCCATTTGCCTCTGTCCCCCACTGGGATTAAAGGTGTGTGTCATCATAACCTCCAGTGGTTTTAGCTTTACCTCTGGTCTTCAGGCCAGATTTATTAAAATACAAATACTGCCGGGTGGTGGTGCATGCCTTTAATCCCAGCACTCGGGAAGGCAGAGGCAGGCGGATCTCTGTGAGTTCGAGGCCAGCCTGGTCTACAAGAGCTAGTTCGAGGACAGGCTCCAAAGCCACAGAGAAAACCCTGTCTGGAAAAACCAAACAAACAAAACCACCAAATACTATACCGCTGTATTTCTCCTTTTTTGTCTAAAAATTAAAAAATTTTTTAAAGTTTACCTTACAATATAAGAGGTCAAAATGGAGGTTCTCAGGAATTTATTTATTTATTTATTTTGGTTTTTCGAGACAGGGTTTCTCTGTGGCTTTGGAGCCTGTCCTGGAACTAGCTCTGTAGACCAGGCTGGTCTCGAACTCACAGAGATCCGCCTGCCTCTTCCTCCCTAGTGCTGGGATTAAAGGCGTGCACCACCATCGCCCGGCTCTAAGGAATTTTTTTATGTATTAACCTTTTCCCCCTTCTTTTTGATACTAGGGCTTGGACTCAGGACCTCAGCCATGCTATGCAGACTCTGGGCTCTTGAGTGGTAATATTAATAGTTCTTATTCATGTTTTGTTTCTTTCCTTCAGGTAGCAAATTATGGAGTTGGAGGACAATATGAACCCCATTTTGACTTTGCACGGGTATGTGAAACTATAAACATGGCATAGCTAAACGTAAATGGATTTAGTTAAAGACATTTTCACAGTGCTTGTTTAAGACAGGTAGACTTTACTGGGGGAGTGGGCAGAGTGCAATTGTAATGAGGATTTCAGTGAGAGACTTAAGTTCCACTCCAGGTTACGGGCCAGCCCGGCTGGGGCAGTACCTAGACAATAACTGAGCAGTAAGTGGGCTATCTTACCGCAGTAGGGACAGGAGCCTGAAGAGATATGAGATAAGGTAGGGAGATGCTCTGAAACCAGGCCCAGCTGAGGAGAGCGCTCAGAGGAACTTGGTTAGGTGTGGTCAGGAAGAATACCTTTGTTGATTCCGTCCACCTATAAAAATCCATTGCCTGCTTGGAAGTTGTGCCAGGAGGTCCTGAAAAGTCTGCAGAAAACAACAACAAAACCACTCAAAAAAGACATTCCGTTCAATGTATTGGTGAGCCTGGAAGAAGGGGAAGACTGTTCCCATAGTCACACTGGACAGTGGGGATGAGGTGCCCGGCAGCACTGCTGTGAGCACCTGGAGCTCAGGTTACTAGCCTGAGGTTTCCCATAACCCTCTAGTCAGAGTACATCGTCAGGAAGGGAAAGAGTGGCTTGAAAGAGAGGGGAGCTGTTCTCTGGGACTTTTACTGATGCGTAGACGAGAAGGATTAAAGTTGCTCAGTTTGATAATGTTCCTCAGTGTGGCAGGAGCAAGCAAAAGAAAAACTGAATCGATAAGGTGCAGCCGAAGACTGTAGCAAGCAGCAGTCAGACACTGAATACTGTATACTATATGTGAGAGCCATAAGAGATAGGGGCAGCAAAAATTTGAAAAATAAGCAAAGGGAAATTCTAAATAGAAAAATGTTAACTTTTAGAAAGATGAGAAATAAGTGACTGAATTGGGCAATAGGTATGAAACAGAACGCATTGAGAATGAGAGACGAACTGGGAGCGGAGTCAACATTAAAGTGTGTCATTATCAAATCTTCATTCAGGTCTCCTCACCATAATCACTGACCCTCTTAGCACTGTGCCGTGTGATCCACAAGCTCCTCTTCACTCTTCAGCCTAGAGTGTCCTGGAGCAGCTGCTTTACTGCCTTCTCTCAGATCCCAGTGTGCTTTTTCTAGGGAATCCTGCAAAAGTAACACTTTCGTTTCTTCCTCTAAATCCTGATACTAAAACATTTCAGGGCTTTTGGTGATGTCAGGCCCCACATTACAAAACTAAAACATTCCATTTTGAGATAATCGTTGATTGCTAGAAAGTAGCAAATAAGTCTATGAGGCCCTTGTATGTACCTTCCCCACCCTAGGGCTGGTGTCCCTATAACTGCAGCACAGTACCAACCAGGAGTGCGCCGTCGGTGTGCTCACAGTGCTCAGTACTGTTTCACCAGTTCTCAATTCTGAGCTGGCTCTGCACTCTAATACACGCGACTTAGTGTAATTCCTGTCACGTTCAAGGCATCTCACTAGACATCACAAGCCTCCCTGCAGTACTGCTCACCTACTGCACAGCCCCTTCCTTCCCCCGTCCTGAATTTCTGCTAACACCATTATAGAACACACTAATTCACTCAGAAGACAGGTCTGGAGTTTGGAGTAATTGTCCCAAAAGTCTTCAGGGTGAGGGCTGAGTCAAGCACTTGAGAGGCTAGTTTGGACACAGAACACTGGCCGTATATTTGGGGTGTGTTCTTTACTTATGTTTACTGCTTTATCCACAGAAAGATGAGCCAGATGCTTTCAGAGAGCTTGGGACAGGAAATAGAATTGCTACATGGCTGTTCTATGTAAGTTACAGCTACATTTCATGACTCAACTTATTTTTTGGTAGGTTATATGAAGTTGATTTGGTATCACTCCTATTGACTACATAGTGCCTTCAAAGCCAACCTGGGTCTCAAAATAGAAAAAGGGCTGGGGGTGTGTCTCTCTGATTTGTTTAGCATGCAGGAAAGCCTGGGTTTGATTTCTAGCATGTCACAAACCAGGCTTGGGGGTGCATGCTTGCAGTCCTAGTACTTGGAAGGCAGAAGGATCAAGGCCATCCTTGGGTATATAGTATAGTGAGATTGAGGCCAGCATTGACTATGAGAGCTTGTCTCAAAGTGGAAGGGGTGTTCTTTAAAAATTATTGCCTGGTGGTGGTGATGCCTGCCTTTAATCCCAGCACTCAGGAGGCAGAGGCAGGTGGATCTCTGTGAATTCAAGGCCAGCCTGATCTACAGCGTGAGTACCAGGACAGCCAGGGCTATACTGAGAAACCCTGTCTTGAAAAACAAAACCAGGGGCTGGAGAGATGGCTCAGAGGTTAAGAGTACTTACTGTTCTTCCAGAGGTCCTGAATTCAATTCCCAGCAACTACATGGTGGCTTGCAACCATCTGAAATGAGATCTGGTGCCCTCTTCTGGTGTGCAGGCATACATGGAATGTTTGATACACAAGAAATAACAACAAAATTATTGATAGTTCCAGTACTTGGAGATGTTCCACATTTTAGAATATGGACTGTTTGCCCATACACGTTCTCTACATGTGCACACTTTATAATGTGCAGCTTTACGGCTTTTCACAAACTAAGCATGTCTGCTAATCAGCACCCAGACTAGAACATATCACAGAACGGGAGAGGGAGAGAGAGAGAATAGTTAAACTCAGGACCTAAAATATGCTAAGCACTCTGCCTCTGAGCTACATGCCCAACTCCAGAATTAATATTTGTTCCACTTCATCCAACTTTTCTGTTAAATAACAGATCACCCCCAAATGATTTTTCCTTCAGTGAGGGAGAGGGGCAAACATATGGTCTCATGCATGTTCTGAATGTTTTTAAATAGCTGTCATTTATTTCCTCCTATTGCAGAGGTCTTAACTGGGTTTAACATCACGATGCCTGTTGATCTCTCGTGCAGTTGCACTCATTTGTCAAGCACTTGGCCCTTCTGGAAGGCTTAGGCAGATGGGTCTCTGTTGGCCACCCTACTCACAACTCGGGGTTCTCACAAATCCCCAGTCTCCCAAAAAGAAAATTCTACATGGACATGATATTTTTACAGCCTGTTTTTAGAAGTCATACAGTGTCCTTTTTCTGTTTTTAAATCACACCTGCCAGGGACGCACTCCACCTCTGAACCACACCCTCAATTCTGCCCCGGTTCAGGATGAGGGGCATGGGCTCGCACCATTTGAAATGAATTCCGAAGTCACAGTCACATAAAAAGCAGGTGGTGACTGAGGCTGTAGCTCAAAGTCTCGGCTGGATCTTGAGTACTGGGAAAAACAAAACATGTAGTTAGACTGTTACTATGTTTAGAAAATAAAATCTGCTAGTGGTGTAACCCTTATTTTTGAAATATGTGGTTTGGGGGCTGGAGAGATGGCTCAGTGGTTAAGAGCACTAGCTGCTCTTCCAGAGGACCTGAGTTCAATTCCCAGCAACCACATGGTGGCTCACAACCATCTGTAATGAGATCTGGCGCCCTCCTCTGGCATACATGTAGGCAGAGTGTTGTATACATAATAAATAAATAAATCTTTAAAAAAAATATGTGGTTTGCCAGGTGGTGGTGGCGCACGCCTTTAATCCCAGCACTTGGAAGGCAGAGGCAGGCAGATCTCCGTGAGTTCGAGGCCAGCCTTATCTACAGGCTCCAAAGCTACAGAGAAACCCTGTCTTGGGAATGAATGAATGAATGAATGAATGAATGAATACGTGGTTTAGCAGGGCATGGTGGCACAATGTTTTTAAGTCACTTGTTTTAGAGGTGGCATATACATCCCATAGTTGGGCTGTGTTTGGTATTTTCTGCCTGTGGTGGTGTTTAAAACTCTTCACTAGGATGGATTTCCTTGATGCGTGTGCTTTTTCAGTTATTTAAGGTTTGTGTTTTTGTCCTAGGCTACCTTTATAATAAATAGAAATTCTTTAATCTTGTGGTTTTTCATGTAATTTTATCTGAAGGTAATTGTTTCCCTTACAGATGAGTGACGTGTCTGCCGGAGGAGCCACTGTGTTTCCTGAAGTGGGGGCTAGTGTTTGGCCCAAAAAAGTAAGCTCACTTGGTTTGTGGGGCTTGGTTTTGTTGGGTATTTTCCTCCTGAAGTAGATTTGCACGTGCAGTTTGTGGCCCAGGAAATGAGTTACACTTTCTTGTATTTATTTTTATCTTATTGGTCTTTTTCTGTATATGTGTGTTAGATCCTGGAGTTACAGACAGTTGTGAGCTGCCGTGTGGGTGCTAGGAACTGAACTTGGGTCCCATGGACCATATTTGCAGACTACATTCATCTCAAAGTAAAGGTTGGGTGAGGAACAAGTGTAATAACTGAGTTCTGATTCCCAAGATTTGATTTCATATAATTCTCTCCATATTGCCGGACTGTTCTCACTCTGTAGACCAGGCTGGCCTCAAACTCACAGAGATCTGCTTGCCTCCACCTTCCGAGGGCTGGGAGTAAAGGCCCTCCACCATGCCCGACTGAAACACTCTCTTGTCATCCACCCTTATAACTCCCATATGATCAAGAAAACGCCTCCAAGCCATAGACGGAGCAGGAAATAGAAGTGCTGTGAAAAGTGAAAACCTAGCGTTTTATTTGATGATAATTTTGAATTGTTCTCCACAGGGCACCGCTGTCTTCTGGTATAATCTGTTTGCCAGTGGAGAAGGAGATTACAGTACACGGCATGCAGCCTGTCCTGTGCTAGTTGGAAACAAATGGGGTAAATAGTTCCTGTATTCTCTGCTTAGAAACTTTATAACCTGCACCTTAAAACAAAATGCCTCCTCCCATGATTTGCCATCTGGCTAATTGTATAGGATCCAGCTAAGCCTGTCCCTGATCTGAGTATAAATTTGCATCCCTTAGATGAGCATTTTGGTGAGATTGTTTTTGAGGGTGGGTGCTCTGTTTCACCTAGTTTTCCAGAAGCATTAGATTAGTTGACTCCCAAGTTGAAAAGTTAGAATCTTGCCCTCAAAAGGTCACAGTCTGAGAGCGTGAACTGATGGGTAATCAGAATGTGGCAGAGCACAGACCAATGCCCAAGAAGGTTTAATTTTTGTTTCCTCAGCACATAACAGTTACTTTTTAGATATGTTAAGTGCCAGAAAAGATTTGGGCTAAAGCTCAGACAGCACCTGGCTTCAGTGCAGTATTTAAGAGGCCCTCCTCTCAGACCATACAGGCATAGGATTGCCTCTATTAACAACTAAAATAGGAAACGAAACAAGTTTAATACATACGAATCCAGTGTGTACATTACAGTATGTCAGTGGCCACATGTTAGATGCTCACATCTACATGTGTCCATTGGTTAGAACCACTGTAAGGAGGCCTGGTTGGAAGACCTTACAATCCCCTCACTGAAAATGATGCTTGGGAACTGCTGGACCACGGTGAGCACAGGCTGACTGGGAAGGAAACAGCTCTGAAGGCTCTTCTCCATCATGTGAGTGCTCTAAAGCAGCAGCAAAGGGTTTTGACTCAAAGATACAAGAAAAAATGGCCAACTGATGAATGAAGACTATGTACCAGGGAGTTAACAGTAACCAGTGTAGGCAACCTAGTTCAAGTATTTTGTCCAAGTCAGTGACATTGACTTATTCTGTAATACCAGAAATGGGGTAGAAAATTTGGGAGAAGAAATCCGTATTTTTATATATATAGCCCTTCAAAATCCCAGCAAAATTCTTCAAGGATCTCAAAAGAACAGTACTCAACTTCATTTGGAAAAGCAAAAAACCCAGGATAGCCAAACAATCCTGTACAATAAAAGAACTTCTGGAGGCATCACAATCTCTGACTTCAAACTCTACTACAGAGCTACAGTGCTGAAAACAACCTGGTATTCGCATAAGAAGAGACAGGAGGACCAATGGAATCTAAAATATACGTCTTAGAACACTTGCTTTTTGACAAAGAAGCAAAAAATACCAAATGGAAAAAAGAAAGCATATTTAACAAATGGTGCTGGCATAACTGGATATCAACATGTAGAAGAATGAAAATAGACCCATGTCTATCACCATGCACAAAACTCAAGTCCAAATGGATCAAAGACCTCAACATAAAGCCAGCCACACTGAACCTCATAGAAGAGAAAGTGAGAAGTACACTTGAACGCATTGGCACAGAGAACCACTTCCTAAGTATAACAGCAGCACAGACACTAAGAGAAACAATCAATAAATGAAACCTCCTGAAACTAAAAAGCTTCTTTAAAGCAAAGGGCACAGTCAGCAAGATAAAACAACAGCCTACAGAACGGGAAAAAGATCTTCACTAACCCCACATCAGACAGAGATTCCATCTTATACCTGAAAGAATGGCCAAGATCAAAAACACTGATGACAATTTATGCTGGAGAGGCTATGGGGAAAAGGGAACACTTCTGCATTGCTGGTGGGAATGCAAGCTGGTACAACCCCTTTGGATGTCAGTGTGGTGATTTCTAAGAAAATTAGGAAATAACCTTCCTCAAGACCCAGTAATACCACTTTTGGGTATATATTCAAAGGATGCTCAATCATGCCACAAGGACATGTGTTCATAGCAGCTTTGTTTATCCTAGCCAGAACCTGGAAACAACCCAAATGCCCCTCAACCGAAGAATGGATAAGAAAAATGTGTTACATTTACATAGTGGAAAAAAATTTACACAGCAGAAAAAAATAACAGCTTGAATTTTGAGGGGAAAATGGATGGAGCTAGAAAACATTATTTTGAGTGAGGTAACCCAGACACAGAAAGACAATTATCACATGTATTCACTCAGGTGGTTTTTAAACATAAAGCAAAGAAAACCAGCCTACAAACCACAATCCCAGAGAACCTAGATAACAATGAGGACACTGAGACTTACATAAATCTAATCTACATGGGAAGTAGAAAGTATAAAAAGACAAGATCTTCTGAGTAAATTGGGAGCATGGGGACCTAGGAGGAGGGGAGCAGAGAAAAATGTAGAGCTCAATAAATATTAATTAAAAATGTATATAAAAGATATATGTATATATATATATATATATATATATATATATGTGTGTGTGTGTGTGTATATATCAGCTGTAGTGATGCATGCCTTTTAATCCCAGCACTCAGGAGGTAGAATCGGGCAGATCTTAGAGTTCAAGGATAGCCTGTCTGGTATACAGAGTGGATTCCAGAATAGTCAGGGCCACGCAGAAAAGCCCATCTCAAAACCAAAACATTCTGTAACTAAGACAGCTGACTGAGGATGTGATAGCATCAACTGATGAGAGGACTGTCTGGGTTTCGGGGGCAGTACTTGGAGTACGGAAAGCGCTGTGTTCCCTTCATGTTGTTCCGCTTGCAGCTCATTTCAGCCTCAGCAGAGATACATGCAATCTGATTTTTCCAGCATTGTCAAGTTTATCTGAATTTTAATCTTAAGCTTTTAACCTGTGCTGAAACTGTTCTAGTTGAGCTTTCAGATGAGAATAAAATTTTTTTTTTCTCCCCACAGTATCCAACAAATGGCTGCATGAACGTGGACAGGAATTCCGAAGGCCGTGCACCCTGTCAGAACTGGAATGACAGACCGGCTCCCCTCGCTCCTGTTGTCCTCTAATGCGCCCGGCACAATCGCTGATAACTTTCAGACGTTTACAGCTGACTAACACTCCATGGTTAACTCGGTCATGAACCTCGTCCCGTGTTTTGTCTGTGGACAATCACTTATTGTATGGGCTTTTTTGTTTTTTAATTAACACTCAGTCACCACATTATGTAAAATTTTACAGTTCATTATCACAGAGTACAGGACATTTAAACAACAGAATTAGGATTCATAATTTTAAAAGAGCTTTTTGGTTTAGATTAAAAAAACAAAAACATCCAATTGTAGATTTCAGCGCATCTGCGTAGATGGTGGTCCCAGCGAGGCTGTGTGTGGGGTGCAGGAGCCTGTCCTCCTGCTCTTCCTTCGCTGGAGTGTGCGCACTCCTAATAAACTAGGACCCTAGTCTGGGCCCTAAGGGCTTTGCCTCATCTATTAGTCCACGTTCCTATTTCTTATTATTTAAAGAAACTGTATTTTTACCAGATCTCCCTCCTCAACAGTGGTGAATTCAATTGGTTTGAGAAAATTACTTCGTTCAAAAAGTTCTGCTTAGCAGAACTGCCCTACAACTACAGTGCTCAGACTTTTTCCTCAGTGACTGATGGTGTCCAGAGACCCTGCCTGTGTTCCTCCTACAGCAGGTGGTGGTGGTGGCATTCTGATTAAATACTGTGCCTTAGGAGACAGGGAGTTACAGGTCCTCGTAATGACGAGTGAGGGAGTTGATTTTAAAAAAGTCTTTTATAAAAAGCCAAAATGTTTTTTCTTTCTGAAACGTGTTATAACAGTGACCTATTTATGATCTTAAATCTTTTTTTAAAAAAATGTTTCTGTGTGGTATTTTTCATGTAAAATAACACTGCGTACAGGTATGTTACTCCTTTACTACATAGAGCTACAGTTTAGTATTTGGTTAGACTTTTAGTCAATCAAAACATGTTACTTTGGAGTCTAGCTTGCCTGGCCCACTTCAGACTTTTATGAGACACTAACAAAAAGTGTACTTTCTTCAGACACAGTCATGCTTTGATTATGAGTTGTTACAATAATGATACTTACACACTTTCTCTTATTCAAAAGCCTGGTTGTGGTCTTGATGTATATGAGGGAATTTTTTTTTCATTCAGAGCTCTGGCTCTTTCTTTTTAGTTCTCTGGGAAAGTAGGGATTAAAATGAACTGTTCCATCACAAAGATTTTAACAAAAAAACAAGTTCAGCACTTTAAACTGATTTTAGGTGCTTTAAAGACAGGATGGAGCCGGGCAGTGGTGGCACACGCCTTTAATCCCAGCACTCAGGAGGCAGAGGCAGGCAGATCTCTGAGTTCGAGGCCAACCTGATCTTCACAGCAAGTTCCAGGACAGGCTCCAAAGCTATAGAGAAACCTTATCTTGAAAACAAAAACAGGATGGGTATGGTGGTCCACATCTTTGGTTTCAGCACTTAAGAGATGCTTCTGCCTTTTCCTCCTAAGTTCAAAAACAGCATGGTCTACATAGTAAGTTCTAGGTCAGCCAGGGCTACATTGAGAGATCTTACCTCAAAAACAAACAGAACAACTTCTTTTAGGCCAGTGGTGTAGTTCAAACATAGAGTAACACGTGTGAGCCCTTGGGTCCCATTCCGCTACTAAAACCCCACACTGGTTAACATGGAAGCAACAAGTAAAATAGGGATTTCAAGGCCAGAAAATAGGTTTGTCACGAAGTGTTAGCAACCAGATGATAAATTAGGGAGACAACAATATATACATCTTCTATAAGAACTTTATAAGCTATGTGTGGCCTGCCCCTGCCTGATGTTCCCATGAGAACATCTGGTGGTTAGTGCCATTTGCAGTCTCAGGTGACTGGGGCCAGTGGCTGCTCCCCACCTGGAAAACCACAGGGTTCATGAGGAAAAGGGGCAAATAGTTGAAACCAGGAATGGCCTGTACACACGTGGAGAGACGCTCAGCCTCGCTGCTCCTTTAAGGAAGTCGGCAGTGTTACAGGATTCCTGTCAGGAAAAGAAAGTGTCGTCGAGGATGTGTAAAGATTGTTATTATGTAAAAGTTCTTCAGAACCTGTGGAATTTGTTTCTGGGTAGGAAATGAAGGCAAAGAGTTGACGTGTTTATACCCGGGCTCATGACAGGATCGTTTGTAGTCACCGTAAAATGGAAGCAACCTAAGTACAGAAATAAATGAGTGGGGGAAAGGTGGCATATACATTAGGAACATATTCAAGCCAGAAAAGGAAATTCCAACACACGCTCAACATAGTTGAAGCTTGGCGAAATAAGCCACACAGATGCTCTCAGCCACTCACGTGATACCTAGAGTAATCGAATGCCGGGGATGTACGTGGTTGTCTGGGTGGAGAGGAGACACTTGGGACTTAGTATTTATTGGGTGTTTTGCCAAGAATATACACTTAATGTGATCTAAATATACTCTTCGATTTTAGACTTATTTTGTATGCATGAGTGTTTTGCCTGTATGTATGTATGTGTACTACATGTGAACTTGGTGTCCTCAGAGATCAGGCAAGGCCATCGGACCTTCTAGAACCAGTGGTGGTTGTTTGGTAACCATCATGTAGGTGCTGGAGTTGAACTCTGGTCCAAAAAATGTTCTGAAATCTGTGAGCCAAGCCATGTCTCCAGCCCCTAAAAACATTCTTAAAGGTAAACGTGCCAGAGTTGTCGCTCAGTGGTTGAGCATGCCCACGGTCCTGGGTTCAATCCTCAGCCCTCTCCAAAAAAAGAACAAAAAGCAGTATCACATTTTAAATGTTTGACAACTTAACCGTTATGTTCCAGTTCTTCTAAACCTTCCAAATTGAAAGCAAGGGCATCTGTACACCCGTGCTTCTGTTTATAGCAGCAGCATTCGCGGTGGCCAAAGGTGGAAGCAACCGCTTTGAGTATCTATCTGCAACTGAACGGATGAGCAAAGGTAAAAACAGAGATGGGTTTGGAATTATAGAGCTCAAGAGACTTGACAAACACTGAAAATTAGCAGAGAATCCCAAAGCAAAACTAAGGGATGAGAACAGCTTTTAAAGAAAAAAAAAAAAAGTCAGGCATGGTGCTACACACCTTTAGTTACAACACTCAAGGGAGAGACAGATACAGACTTTGAAGCCAGCCCTGTCTACATAGTGAGACTGCTTCGAATTCCCAGCAACCACATGGTGGCTCACAACCATCTGTAAAGATGTCTGGCGCCCTCAACTGGCCTTCAGGCATACAGACAGAATATTGTATACATAATAAATAATTATTTAAAAAAAATAAATCAAGACAACTTAAAAAAAAACTGTTTAGCGCTACAATTTAGAAACAGATACTACATATATCTGAGAACAGACTCAGAATGGCCATGAATGCACTTGTAAATTCACCAAATCGTAAAGATACTGAAACTGGTTGAATAAGTGAACTTCGTGACTTAGAAGAGAGAAATTAGATCATAAGGCCTTGGCAGCAACACTTGCATAGAACAAGAATATACTTAGTATGGGCGGGGGTGATGGCTCAAGACTGGAGTTTGGAGCCCGGAATCCCCGTCAGTGTCAGGTGGGCATGACAGCCCTCTTGAAAGATGGAGATGGAATCCCCAGAACAGTCGGAATCGCTGAGCTCTAGGTCCCTGACTTACAGGGAATACAGGAATACGCCCAGTACCAGTTTCTGGCCTCCACATGCGCACACCTAGGCACCTGCTCTGTAACATACACGTAAGTGCATAAACACGCAAAAGATCTAGATCCACTCAGCACAGACAAATCTGTCAACACTGGAAATCTGACATGTGAAATCCTTTTTCTAAGGAATCTCCCAGAAGAAAAGTTGTGACCTCTAGAATAGAGGTGTGGAATAAATACCAAAGACAGTGACTATGCTACCAAATCTATGGAGTATATCGGTATCCACAAAGGATTGTGTCAGTGTTTGTGGTTATTTTTATTTTTATGATTTTTTTTATTCTAGATAAGAGTTTCTCTGTAGTCATGGCTGTCCTGGAACTCGCTCTATAGACCAGGCTGGCCTTGAACTTGAACATCTTCCTGCCTCTGCCTCCCTAGTGCTGGGATAATTAAGGATCTTTTTCAGTGTACAATTCAGGCCAGCCTCACACGATGCCCTCTGGCCCTGGGGCGGGTTGTGGGCCTGTACCATCATGTTCAGCTACTGCTGGTGAATTTGAAATCTGTCTGTAGTGTCGTGTTATAGTAGCCTGTTAAAGTACAGAAGACACCCAAAGCCAGTAGAATAGAAAAACCTTAGGAGAACGTTGTTAGAGAAAGAAGTCATTTTCCACCCTACAAAACTAGCTAGAACATACAGTGGAATTTTATTGTGCAGTACAGATGAGAAAAGTAATCACCAAGAATCTGTGTGAGTCCATAGGTTTGAAATGTCCAGACCAAGCAAATCTATACAGAGAAAAAACAGGGATGGGGAAGAGAATAGGCCCGATAGCTAAGGGATTACATTTTCCTCAGCTGGTCATAAAAACATTTCTAAGTTGCGCAAACCAGGGGTGGTATAGCTAGAAGGATCAGAAATTCAAGGTTTCCCTTTACATAGTGAGTTAGAGGCTAGCCTGGAGCATAAAAGAACTTGTCTCAAAAACAGTAACTATTGAGTCATTAATAAATGTTCTAAGTTGTGATGACTGCAACCCAGCTAAGCCACTGGGCGAGAACCAGAGTGTTTAAGAACTGTATAAAATACACATGTCAGGTTAGTGAGCTAGATGGTATGAAATAGGTATCTCAAAGCTGTTTCTAAAAAGCTAGCAAGACGTCAGAAATAAATGAAACCTAAGTTCGGCCCACTGTAGGGAAGTTTGAAGAAACCCAAACCCACACTGACAGAAATGGTGAGTCTGCAGCTGAGCTGACACAAGCAAACTGTCATCAGGCATGACGGGGACAAAGCTACAGATCCTACAGAGCTTGAAAGGGTAATGGTGGATTACTAACTTCTTCGGGACTGTTCGGACAGATTGTGCAGGTAACAAATCACCAAAATCTCAAGAAAATTCTGAATAGCCCCATTATTGAGTAAAGAAATTAAGGGCTTAATTTTTTTAAACCAAAAAGCAATGCAGAGTTCTTGATGACATCACCAATCCCTGCCGTGTTAAGGAATGCCCTCCACAAATGGCTTCAGAAAATGCATGATTTCCAGCTCACTTTAAGAAATATTGGTCGAGCGGTGGTCACGCATGACTTTAATCCCAGCACTCGGGGAGGCAGAGGCAGACGGATCTCTGTGAGCTAGAAGCCAGCCTGGTCTATAGAATGAGTTCCAGGACAGCAAGGGCTACAGAGACTCACCCCCCCCCCCCACACACACACACAAACAAAAAAAGAAAAGTTGTCCCTGATCTCCAACCAGACTAAGAAAGTATAAGGAAGAAACAATCCGTATCTCCCAGGAACATAGATACAAAATACTATTGCATCTAACCAAAAATAAGGGGGAAATTAATGTTTAAGTGAAAAACAAAGCTTACTGAAATGAGCTTAACAGTACACCAACAAGTTCACTTCAACAATTAAATCACAAAGTTGGGGCCAGCGAAATGGCTCTGTGGGTGAAGGAACTGGCTGCTAAGCCTGACTACCAGAGTTCAGTCCCAGGAGTTCAGAGGGTAGGAAAGAACTGACTCCTACAAACTGTACTGTGACTTCATACACAGGCTGTGGCACGCACGTGCACACACACACACATGCACACACAGAGAAGTAAATACAATAAAAAATGCAAGGTCATGTCCATCTCAAAAACCTCTAAGATTGGATTAAAGATCCAAATTCTACCTGAGTAATTCATCATGTTAGCATGTTAAAGGAGGAGAAGAGAACTATGGTCATTTCAAAAGATGCAGAGCATGCATATAACAAATCTCAGTACTGCTGCTGTTTTTATAAGTGTCCCCAGGATCAAGGTCAGCCTGTGCTCCTTAGCAAGTTTCACACTAGACAGAGCCTGCCTCAAATAAAATGCAAATGTCCTGAACTGACTGGTGGCTTGTCAGAAACCTTGCTCTGCTTTACTTTCCAGTAAAACACTGGATGCTGCTTGCAGTACAGCCAAGGGTCCACTCTCCCCGGGGTTATTTAGTATTGCTCCAGACAGGAAGAATAGAGGCTCACACCAGGAAAGCAGCAGCTTTCCCCAGCAGCTGCATGAGCATGCTTGTGAAGCATCCCAGAGAATCTACAGAACTCTTCTTAGGCTGCAGGCAGCACGCCAACTCTACATGCAGAAATGAATGACAAACTGAACTTCTAAAGACGGTATGGGAAGGCCTCAAAAGTGTACTTCCCAAGTAAAAAGTGCAGATTACAAATGAGAGCTGTGTGCTTAAGCATGTGACTGCCAAGAAAAGTTAGGGTAGTGCGTGTAGACAAGAAAGGGCCATTCCGCTAGGTGGTGGCGCATGCCTTTAATCCCAGCACTCGGGAGGCAGAGGCAGATGGATCTCTGTGAGTTTGAGGCCAGCCTGATCTACAGAGCGAGTGCCAGGGACAGGCTCCAAAAGCTACAGAGAAACCCTGTCTGGAAAAAAACTGAAATTAACTAATTAATAATTTGTGATATACAAATGAGAGCTGTATACTTAAAAATATGACTGCTGAGAAACGCTAGAGCACTGAGTGGAGATAAGAAAGGGCCATTTTGAGGTGAGAAAAATGCCCTGTGTCCTGGTGGTAGTACTGAGGAATCTATATCTGTCAGAAACATTTTATGGTGTATTCTGAATACGTGCGTTTCTATGGAGTTTGTAAGGTTTGGTGTGTGTGTGTGTGCGCGCACGCGCTTGCATGTCTGGATCACAGGTGTGAATTACCACATCAAGCTAATAAAACATTCAAAAACATTAGCAAACAGCTAGGCAGGTCAAGACTTAAAAATGGCAGAAACAGCCAGGCATGCCTTTAATCCCAGGGGGAGGGGGGAGGCAGAGGCAGGTGGATCTCTGTGAGTTCAAGGCCAGCCTGGTCTAAGTAGTGAGTTCCAGACCAGCTGGTGAGTTACCTAGTGAGACCCTGCCCTTAAAAAAAAGAAAGAAAGAAACAAGTATTGTTTGGTCCATGACTCTGTAATGATGGTTAAAATATTAACTATTTTAAATATAAATATTTGTTAATAAAATCCCTATCAAACAGATGTTTTTGTTAGGTAAAAAGATATCTAACATTTTTATCCCTGGGTGGGGGGGGGGACAACTTTAGATCCTCATAGGCTTGTATCAAAGAAGACAAAACTAAAGTCTTACAAACTAATAAAAATCTAGTTTCCCAAGGCTGGCCTTGAATTGCTTTGTGATGGGGGAGGGTCTTGATTCCTGATCCTGTCTTTATCTCCCAAGCGTGGGGCCACAGTCCTGCACACTGCCCTGTGGGAACGGGACCTCCCTGATCAAATGCGTGGAACCGGAACCTGATGAAAGTTCCTGGCAACGGTCACGGGAGGCCGTGACGCTCATTTTGAAATATTCTACTTAATTGCCAGGCACAGGGCCGGGGCTCATGTCAGCACTCCTGGTTCGAATGCTTGTGGAGTTTGGCTTGGTTTTTTTCTGGAACTG